CCAGACAGTTCACTCTCACCTCCTCTCTGCTGCGTGGAACCCTGACAGGTGGAGAAACCCGGGTGTACATCAGCACCCCATCTAGAACGTGAGGGAACATTTCAATGTACACTATCACTGGACTGTTTTCGTTGCTGTTGAGTAAAAATAACAACATCTCGGAGAATCACTTCACCTATGAGGCCGAAGCGCTTGGCCATCCTCTTCAGGGCGTTCCTGCTCTTCTTGCTGAGCATTGGTAAAACTCTGTGGCTCAGATACCTGCAGAAACAATGAGGTTCAAGTTATTATCCGCCTTATTTTTCCCACCTCCTTCTCTCGATGTCTTTATGAAAGTCAAATATTAAAGGTGTATTTTTATTGACAGCTACTATGATGTTGTCTTAGCCTTTTGACTAAATTGTTAGTAAGTCATAGTCAATAGAACTGTTGTCAAAATATCAAAATGTTTTTGGTCAAATAAAAATTATGTAAACTAAGTGCAACATGCAACATTTTCATTTCAATAGAATTAGTGAACAAAATTCTTAAATCTTAGTTCAGCTTTTTTTAAACAGTGCTTTATTGAACATTATTTAATTTTAATTAATAAAAATGAGTAATTAAAATAAAAATTAAAAATAAACATTTTTTACATTAAATCTGTAGAAATAGATTAGCAACAATACGTCTTTTTTTTACAAACTAATTAAGCTTTGTGACTTCAGTCCTGTACAGTGATGTGAAATTGAATGTTGATATGATTTCTGTATGAAATGAGAACCACCACAATCTCAGGAGAAAACCTGAAGTTTATGTCTGAACAGGTTGACTTTGTTGGCATTAAAGCAAGCATGAGAATGAGCACAAACACCTCGACGTTTGTCAGAATTGACCTGGTCACTACACTTTGAGATTTCACTTGTCCTTCCCAGCGTTTACCTGGCGATGTGGTTGTATGTGGTGAAGCTCTGCTTAACAACAGTGTTCCTCCTTATGTCTTCCTTCAACGGGGGAGCTTTCCTGTGATCCTCGTCTGGGGTTGGCAGAGAGTACTGGTGGTCCTGCAGCTGGGTGGGCAGGTCAAATGAAAGTGAAGCTGCGTCAGGTGGATCTGTGGAGTTGGCAGCAGCAGCGGCGGCAGCTGTAGAGAGGAGGTCCTCCAGCGTGTCTGAACGCAGGAAATCTTCATCTGTAGGAACACAAATCTGAGAACAGGAGGATGAAGTCAACCCAAGTGTCTGATGATATCTGCCACAGCTCCCTCTGCTGGTGAAAAGATACTCGAAATTTGCTACATAAATGGTGAATACCCAAACAAAAATCTAAAAGATTGACATACATTTGAGTTTGTATTATTCTGAAAGGCCAGAGCCTCAAAAGTTGGCCCAGATGTGTAAGAAACAGTGACATTTAATGGTGAAACTGTATACTGCAGTTAGTGAGGCCTTTTCCCAAGTGCATCATAAAAAGGATGTGTTTTTTCTTGCTCATGCTAGACTCTCCTTTTTAAGAAACACAGCACTGCGAGATGACAGCATCTGTAAAGAATCCATACTCTGTGCCCTAATTCTTATCAATGTTTGTCTATTTCGCGACCTTGTTGTCTGCCACTGCCACAAACATGATGGTCGGCACAGCGTCTGATGATAGAGTCATCTGACCCTCATCTCCCAGTGTGAAGCAAGACTCATCGAAGTGCTGGGAGCAGAGGTAGGAGTTGAAGCGCAGTGAGCCTTCGTCCCTTTGAGCCACACTCAACCACTGACTCCGCTGCCCTGGCTCCTTCGGAAACCTGCAGGACATACAAGATGAACTCAAGTGTGAATCTGCAAGTGGAGGTCCACAGGGTCATGTCAAAGAATCCTTTCAAACACCTCTTCTGACCTGTAGAAGCTGAGATCAGGGCGGATGTAGCTGGAGGCTTCGCAGCCATAGGCTAGGCAGAACTGGACGGGCTGAGTGGAGGGTTCTACGTGAGTTCGTTCCTGACAAATAGAGCAATTTTTGATCCATGTCTTCACTGCCTCCGTCACGCCAACCCAGTAATACATCAGCTGATCACACCCAGAGAGAAACGTAGTGTCAAACACACTAACTGTTAAACTTCAAAAAGTCACACGGTCATTATTTGAACCCACCATGATCTCTTTCACCATACGGACCCGACCAGTGTGGTTGTTATCGTTATGGTAACGGGTCAGAATCTCCCGCATTTCCTCATCGCTCCTGACGACTTTAAGGAGGCGCCCTCGATAGGTTCGCCACAGACAGTCATCTGTAGAATAAAAGGAGGAATAGTAGAGCAAGTATTGCACGTTTGTTGTGTTCCACAATTACTGAGGTACCTAAAGTTAACTGTATTTAATATTATTATACCTTTGAAGACAAAGTGTTTGCTGGCAGCTCTGGTCACAGCCTTGGAGCTTTTTGATGCTCCTTCAGGATACTTTCCTGCCCGCAGGAACAAATCTACCCTCTCAATTACATTTGATGGCATCTGTGAAAGAGTTGAAAAACACAATGAAGTTGCATTTATCGACTGTTGACAGATTTGTATCTGACACAGCAAAACATCACATTTGATTGAACTGCTTTCCTTCTTTTGGTTGAATTGAAACCTAAGCCTTTTGGTCAAAATACCCATTTAATCCCCAGGAATATGTTTTTATTTAAAATGTTTTAGTGTACAAACTAAAACAAGCAGCAGCTAACATAAATATTTCCCCAGTCATCACAAACTAATAGAAATATTACTTTGTTCTAAAAACATCAATAACTGTAAGTATTATAGTACACTCTAAGTTTATACTTTTGTAATTAATAGCATTTTGTCAATGTAGTCTTACACTAGTGAACAGAATATCAATTTATAACATGTACACATGCGTAACTTCATAATTACCAAAACAAAAAACATGGCGATCGATCTGGCCTATAGAGTGTTTCCTACCTTAGACCATTTTGTGTCCGGTGAACACAAACCCTCGCTACACCAACGACAACTTCGGAACAATAAAATGCCAGTTTCCGATCGTTATTTCTTCTCAACACTTGTCAAACACGTAATTTTAAATATTGTAATATTTATATATACAATATAACTCGCTCAAAGTTGTAACTTTCACATTAACTCCCCGTATGAATGTAGCATGAGATTCTGTTGGTGCTGTGCAGATATACGCTAGCACGGGACAACCTGTATGTTCCGGTACCCGACCTTTCAAAATAAAAGCAACAACACAAAAAGTACGCTTACCTTTATTTTGTAATCCTATTTTCTTTGAAAGGGTTAATACGTGAAATCGTGCTATTCATTAATTAAATATAAGAATTAATGCATCCCCCCCCCAAAACAAACTCTTTAAAAACCCAATCAAGGACAAATAGTGTCCATAATTTTATTTTAATAATTCTTTACCGTTTGGTGTTATATTGGACTATATATATTTATTCTCATTTGGAACGTTATACTTTCCAGACAAAGTTCTACCGATACTTGTTTTAAATAGTATTCATACCTACCATTGAGTTAGAAGAAGACATACATGAACTACATGATGTGAAGGAAAAACAAATAGCGTTAATGATTTCATTGCACATCCTCTGAAACAATTTTATGATTTTAAATTGTATTATTCCAATAAAACAACACTTGGTCTGTCTCATGCATGAGAACTCAGCACTGAACTGGATGTTGTCAAAAAAGTCCAAAATAAAAAGCTCCCCGTGTGTGTGTGTATTCACCATAACAGATTTTAATCTATTTCTCCAGACATTGTTGTAAGTACATATAAATTAAAACAAAACAACCAAAGACAGCAACACTTACAAAGGTTAGTCCTTAGTTTTCCTACAACCATGACACAGAAACTTAACCCTATGACATTTATTTTGATACTGCTGCAAACCTGCAACATTTTCCCCAACAGATATCCGTGTTTAGGCATTTCCCACAATGCTCGTCCACAGAAAAAGAGAGCAAGGAAAACAGGTTCCCGTTGTCTTTTGATTTTCACATAAACTCTTTTGATATATTGAAGAGAATCTTCTCCATGACTTGTTTTTACAAAGAAAAGTGTAAATGTGTTATTTTGACAGAATTTGTACTTTTTAAAAATTGACTCAATATTCATTCATTTTCTACTCCTTGTTTCTGTACAGGGTTGAGGGAGAGCCTTTGGAGGGTTCGCTTGTCTATCAGCCGGCTGGATACAGATACAAACATTCACATTTACATCTCTGGTCACATCTAGGGTGAATCAACACACATTTAAACTAAACCCAATTGAAAAAAATAGAATTACTTTTGTTTATTTCAATCTCAATTGGACCCCTTAAAACTTAATCCAAGACTTTATTATACACCAAATCGTGAACATGACCATGACTAAGAAGTTACTGTCCTTTGTAAAGGTCTCTAGGAAAATGAGTACATTTTCCTCACAGGACACAGGAGTCTCTGTTCATCTGCTGCATCCATCAGTTAATGTCAACATTTTGTTTTTGGCACTTCAGCCCTTTATTATGCATCTTTTTTAATGTTGTCAAAAGCCCTGGCTGCTTCTTAGCTCCATATTCAACACTTCAGAAATCATACACTATTACTTTATGGATAGAAAAGTCCTTGATTTGAGCCCCAAACTGAACTCTTACTTTCTCATACATGACCCATTACAAAATAAAATATCATCCAAATAGGTAAAACTAAACACCCAGTGACCAGGAGGAAGAGAAATAGTCCTACAGGAGCCTTTGACATTCATTTCTACAGCTTTTCAGAGACAACCCAGAAGAATCAGAACATACCACTACCCACAGCTCCACCTGTAGAACAACATCAAGCCCTTTTCTGGGAATCTGGGCTTGGAGTGAAATTATCTTTGTGTCCTGTGAAGATTAGACTCAATCACAGTCACCTCAGTAGTTTTTTCTTCAAAGGCAGATTCTGGTGTTGGTCTTAAAAAACTCCTCCCAGTTCAATTCAAAAACTCTAGTCTCTCTGTGGGGTCTAGTGCGAGGGCGAGAAGGTCAGGATTATCCAGCTGATGATAAAGTAGAAGAGAAACACAGGGTACACCACCAGAGCTTTACGGTTGGAGGGTTGGCTGTCAGCGAGGAATGCTGTGGAGGCAAAAGTGGACCAGCCAAAGGATGCTGTCACCACCAGAAGGCGCACGACAAAGCTGACTGTTCCTGATCCGCCAACCAGGACGATCCGACACACGATCATGGCCACAGTAAGAGGCAGGATGCAGTATCCCAGAACACACAGGCTCTGGAAGAAAGAGATTGTTCCACCCAAAAGCTTGGAGTTGAGGGTGATGATAATGGAGCCGAACCAGATGACAACAAAGACCTGAGACAGATGAGAGATTATATTTGAAAAGTGACATTTTCATGACTTTTTCCAAAGTCAGTTGCTAATAAATTAGTCATTCATAGAGGAAACGTGCAATTTTACATCAAGGTTTTGTTTCGTGTCCTTCTCTATCCAGCAGTGAATGTAAATGTGTTAATAGAAGAATAGAATAGCCTTTATTCTCATTGTAACACGCGGGTGCAACGAAATTGAAGACATCTGTTACTTAAGCATCAAAAATACTTTGTTCAGTTTCACCGGAATGACACTAAATGACTAGCGACGGTGGCCTTGGGGCAACTGTATATGTGTCCACAAGAAACAATAAGATGCGACTGTTAGCAGTACTGAAAATCAGTGAACACGTCCTCGGACTTTTTGAAACGAAAGCTAATCACTTTTTTCTAACGACGCTTTAATGGAGAAGTTTAAAAGTATTTAGAGCATTTCAAATAATCACCATTAGATGTCACCAGGCATTGGAATGGGGTACATGGTACACGTTTAGAATTTAAGCAGTAAAGTTTTGAACATTTTTACATAAAACCGCGAGTAGTTTTCTCCTTTTTATCTCAAATAGTTCCACAGTTCTAAAACCTTGTACTTTGGCTTCACCTTTGCCAAACGCAAACTGGTATGTGGCGTTAACATTTCAAACATGTGACTGACTCTTGGTCCGGTACCTCAGCAAACTGCGGTCCTCCTTGGTCGTCGCTGTCCGCAGCGCCACCCTGCAGCAGCAGAGCCAGAGTGACGCACAGCAACAAGGGCCCCCACAGATCCCAGTCCCGAAGCAGAGCTGAGCTGCGCTTCGGGTAAAGGACGTGGATAAACTTGTTCCCGACTGCCCGCAGGTCCCGCAGGATGGTCTCCTTCACCGGCTCGTCCAGAGTCGAATACTCGTCATCCCGCTTGTTGGCCCCCATCGGCACGGAAATGTCTCCTTCCACCGGGATATCCTCCGGGATGGAGACGTCGGAGAGTCCGGCGAACGGCCTGCTGGCCTCTTCCTCCGCCATCTTTACTGCGGTTTAACTTCTGAAAACCAGTTCGTCACTCGCTATCAAGTCACAAAGACACGAGATCTTATTCTAAAATAAAGATAAGGAAAGCTTGCGATCACCAGAGTAGCTTCAAACCAGTAGATTAGAATCCAGTTGATCAAGTTCAGTTGCTCCACGTCACCCGAGATTTGTTTACTTCCGTAGAACGTAGGAGCGTACATCCGGGTGAGGTGTTCAGACACAGAATATGAGCTCGGAAAACCAAAGTACCAACAAAGAAATTAAACACAACTGTTTATAAATTGATAATGTTTATATTTTCATTGCTATGGTATTCGTTGTTATATTACTATATTTATGTTGTAATATTATTACTAGTGTTATCATTTCTTGTATTCTTAATTGATTTTACTTCATTTGTATTCTAATTCATGTATAGTTTAGCTTGTTGCAATACTGACACTGCTACATGGACGTACATGTACATGTACATGTACATGTACATGGACAGCTGCACATGCCAAATAAATTTCTTATCAATGTATTTCTTCGTTATTTCTTTTAATTTATTGTTGCGGTTCAAAATTTTCATGATATTCCTTAAATTAAATGAAAACACTCAAGTACAGCCTCATAATTCTATTTTATACCTTATGTATTATCAGTTTCTAAATATGTTTTTCTCTTCAGCGTACAATTGACATGTCAAACTCTCTATCTTTATATTATTTTATTTATTTATTTCAACAGCTATTAATTAAATAACACCGATTTTCAACAAATACAAACATACAGTCAAATTACGAGTTGATTTGTGAATATTTGTAACTGTATATTGCCAACGGTCAGTGAAGGCGTCACTACCTTGTGACGCATTATATCCTCGACGGAAGTCGACCATGCAGCGCGGGTTGTTTACGATTGATGTTACTAAAGTATTTTGTCAGTGTTTTTATTTCCTGTGATGTGAAGAAAAGTAACACCCGTTAGATGGCGTTTGACGGTAAATTCCGTCGCAGTGGGTCGGAGTTGGTGAAGCTGGACTGTGACTATCTGCTGGGTTTATTCCAAAAGACTGAGTCTGTTCGCTTCGAGGTTTTTACCAAAATCTGGAAAGAAACGAAATTTTCAGAAATATTCCAGTGAGTATTTAACAAAATGTTTTAAAGAGCTGCTTTTTTAAAAGTATACTTTAAATAATTTTTTTTGGGCAAACCTTCTTTCAGCTCATTCTTTTAGGAAAAAAGAAAATATTTATTTTAAAAACGTTTGTTTGTGAACATGTGGACCGTTGTGTGAAACCAGTGATGGTCCGACTGATCTGTGATGACTTTGTTTCCAATGTTTCACAGTGGAACCTTAGTGCATGAAAATAGACCCTTCAGTCGTCTGGTGTTGAGAGTGGCCTACACCTACTTTGTGCCTCCACATAGTTTCCAGATCAGAGTGGGGGGTCTTTATCTGCTCTACTGTCTGTATTTCAGTCAGAGGGCCTCGCCCCCAGAGAAGGTCAGGACACAAACTAACAGACTGAAAATACTGTCACATGCTGGATTTAGGCAATTATAAGAGTTCTTTATTTCTTCTTCTACTCCTTGGTTGTAGATCCATATTGCACTGAAGGACTGGGGTGATGTGAAGAAGTTTGAGAGGGATGCTGTGGAAGCTCACCACTATGACATTGTCTACATCCTACGGCAGCTCATGCACACCAAAGCCTTTTACTTCAGTGCCATGCCCATGGAGGTCAGCTGACATACCAGAACTCAGTCATATTTGTTTATCCAATGAGTGGAAAAATGTATTCATTCAAACCAGGAGTAGGACCGGTACCTAATGGAACCTGTAGTTTTAGTCTCTTTAGTCTATTTCTAAACACTACCTTCACTACTCCTCTGTATGACCTTGGATAACTCTTAAATTTTGTTAGTAAATATTAAAAAGTTAATCAACAACCAAAATACATTTTTAAGTGATCTTGTGTTTAATATTCATGACAAAGAGATGTATAAAAGTTTGGCCTAAAATAAAAGACACCAAAGCAGTGTTTCATTCTGAGGAAGCAGCTCTGACCCAGTCTGTAAGATTATGAGTTTGAGAAGAATTTCCAAATGATTTCCTGCCTCATTTAACGACTTTCTTTGTCAGTTTGTCTTTTTTTGTGACATTGACCGACTTCTTTTTAATTATCTTCTTCTTTTTCTTCTTCTTGTTCTATTTCTTCCACCAGCTCTCATTCAAGAAATACAAGAATCATCAAGCTCCACTCAGGTGTGAGAAATTCATTGAACGAGCTTCTCGTCCACAGGAACTGATCAGCATTGAGCTTCTCGATGTGAGTGAAAACAGAAACCCAGACAATGTAGAGCCATTCAGTCCAGATTCAGATAAAAAACTGTTCCACTTTTCTGTGGCAGGAATTGTCTAATGTACACAGCCACTATGACAAGCTGAAGGGGTCTGTGTTCTCTGAGTCAGAACACAGCAGCTCATCTGTGAACCTGATCCAAAAAGACCTCGTTCCTCAACTCCGCAGCACCGTGGTGGATTTTCACACCTGGCAGCAGAAGAGGGTGAGTTTCACCTAGAGGGAGGTGAGGGGAGACTAGGAGTTTAGCAAATAAATCTAATCTCTACTGATGTTGTGATGTTTTTCAGTCTTGTTTGAAGCCGGAGGATGATTCATGTGTTCCAGTCGAAGAATCCGGGGAAGGAACTGCATCCCATGAGGAGGTAAAGATACAACCCCACCGCACCCCCCAAAAAACAGCCAAAACAGTATATTTAGATAAAGAGACTCTTAACAAACTTAACTACATAAAGAGGTAGAACAGCTCCAGGCTCATAGTATGTAAGGTTAATGTTTATTTTCTCCAGTATGTCAGAGAACAAATTCAAATGTACTGTTTGCACAGAGACATTGACGTCAGACCTTTATTCTATTTTTGTGTATCACAGATATTCCAGAACATTCTTCTGACCTGGTCTCTCCAGTGTTTATACTCTTCACTGACTTCATGTAATTCTTTCCTCAGACTAACAAACGAGCTCAGCTTCTGGCCTCCATCAAAACCAAGGCCTATGGTCAGGCTACAGAGGTTTGTTCTCAGCTGTCACTCTTTCTACCTGTGTGTGTGTTTTTTAAGTGAGTGATTTACATACTAATATATATATTATAATATATATGTATAAGTTACATTTTCTGAGCTGACACCTAAGACCAAATGCTCAAGTTGATCTCTGCAAGTCCTCCCCCAAAGGTTTCTGGTAGTTTCTTCCACCTCTAACAACACTGACTGAAAGTACCATGTGTTCTGTTCCTGATACTTTGTCGTTTAAGTTCACGAGAAGAACTTTATATAAACCCTTTATATAGACTTGAATGTTATATATTATATATTCACATTTTATTCTACTGTTTTATTCTACTGATGTATTTGTGTGCTTCACAGGCCTCAAAGTCTCGCCGCCACCGTCAGGTGGAACTGGAACTAAGCAACAGTGTGGAGGCAGAAACCTTAAACAACCAAGCTCGCCCTAACTTTAAAAAGAGAACCTCTCTGAAAAGCAGAATCTGTGACAGCGTCCACATATCAGGTAAACAAACATCAGCTGACTGACCCACCTCAAGAGCGCCTACAGTGGAGCGGTGGTGGCGGTGCAGGCACCTGATATTAACTCACAGACCAAAGTCTATAGAGTAAATGAATGATTTTAGCTCACAGAGACAAAGGAGCTTCTGGTCCACTGCTGCCTCCTGTGGTCAGTTTGTGTCAATGAGGAAAATGTGAATAAAATTTATTTAATTTAATAATTATTATTATGTTTAATTTGTCCAATGCTAAACGTATCACATCAACACATTTCAGCTGGAAAAAGAAAACAATTTTGTGAAATAAAATGCTAAAGACACAGAATATTGATGTTCTGGAATGTTGTGTTTGCTGACCTGTGAAAACCATCTTTCAGGTGACATTGAGAAAGCAACACCGAAGACCACGGTGATTTACCGTCTGGTCACTGTGGATTCTGAAGGTCCAGGTTGGTGAAATATTTTTCGCTGTTTTACAGGAACACCAGAACTGACTTTCTGCGTGACCTTAAAATAATCATTAATTTATTTGTATATTTGTTTGTTTGTGTTTCTGCGTTACACAGGACAAACTGAAGGAGGAAATAAAGACGTTCAGAACAGTGGAGGAGACAAAGACACAGGCTGACGCAGAAGATCTGAGGAGGAGACTCCTGACGAGAGCAGAGAGAAGAATGGCTGAATGTTTTATACAAACATTTACATCGTGACACGTGATTGTTTTAAGTTAGATAAATTATGGATGGCTGTTAGTTTTTATGTTCTGTACATTTGTGAGAATTTGACTGTATGTTGATGATGCAGTGTTTACTCTGATACTACACACTGATCTGCTTCTGGGAACTTGCAGGTTTTTTTCTTATTTCAGTGATTGATAAAAAAAAAAATTATTTTTTTAATAAAAGTTTTAAACAATTCCTGTAGTCTTTTGTCTCTTTAGGGTTAGGGTTTCTGTGACATTTATTGAAGACAGGTCAAAGTTAGAAATAAAAACATTTAGGTTATATTTATTACAAATGTATTTTATTATATATAATATTATTTGATCAGACCAAATGTCTCAGTGAGATCGAAATATATTTTTTATAGTAAAGACTATAATTATAATTTAGAACAACTGGAAAACTGATGACGTTTCACCATCTTTGTATGAATCAATAGATTAAACCAATTTCCTGTTCTGTTACAGTACCAGGTTACTTCCCAGGAACTTCTTAATTATGCTACATGCATGTAATATTTTATTATTACTAGTACTGTATATATGTATATATATATATATGGAACTTCTATTGTTACTAGTACTGTATATATATATATATTACCAATAATATTGTGAATAATAAGATTAAAAAATAGTAAGAGTAAATAATAGTAAAAATAGTAAAAAAATATTTTTTACTACGGTCCGCGAAGGCACCACAGCTCTCTGCGGTTCTGCTGTAGGAGGATCAGGATCAGGACAAGGAGGAGCAGCAGCGACGCTGCCGCCTCTGCTCCGCCGCTCAAAGCGTCGCCACCTCAGCCTGAGTGTGTGTGAACGTCAGCAGGAGCAGCAGGAGCAGCAGGAGGAGCAGGAGGAGCAGGAGGAGCAGGAGGAGCAGGAGCAGCCATGGCCACAGACAGTGAGTAACGTCATCAGCAGCATTCATGTTCATCTTCTTCATATCTTTCTGTCTGCATGCGCGTGCGTGCGTGTGTGTGAGGTAGATGAAGCCTGTTGTCAGTCCTCCACCCTCTCCTCCTCCTCCTCCTCCTCCTTCTGCTCTCTATGGAGCTGGAGGATGAAGAAATCTCTTTCATCTTCTCTCTGTTCTGCTCCGGTTCTGATGGGTCGATCAGAACCATGATCAGACAGAGACATAAACAACCTGTGCTGCAGTGAAACCAAGAATCCTGCAGGAGCTGCAGGAGAGGAGAGGAGGAGAGGAGGAGAGAGGAGCTGCTTCATCACAGATACTTCTCTTCATTCAAGTCTATTTTTGTATCTGACTGCAGCAGATTCAGATCAACTCTGGCTCAGATCAACTTCCAGCTTCCAGGAAACGGTTAAATGTGTTCTGAGGAAACCAGACTCACCTCCTTTAAAAACAAACAACCACAGTTTAAAAACTGAGAAAATGTTTTAGAATCAAACATTTGATCAAAAATAAAGAGTGACATCCACAGATGTTTAAAAAAACAGATACTTGGATGATAAATACTACATTTGTAGTTTTTATTTATATGGTACTGTATAATATAACTACAAAAATAGTATAGTATAAAGTATAACTTTACCCAAAACAAATCACAAAACTATTTGTATTGTACATTGTCAAGAAGTAGTCACCGTTCCTCACTAGAAATAGTTCCTGGTTCCTACAATAAAAGCTACTGGTGCTGTAGTACGTTTCCGGTGCTTGTTCCTGTAGTGGAAATGCATTTTGTTCCTGGTACTGTTACCTGCTCTAAGGACGGGCTCCTGCTGTGGACATGTACTGGTGTAGTTCCTGATACTATCTCTCCGTCCTGTTACTAGTCTGTTCTGCTGTGGAATCACATGTTCTTGGTACTTTTCATGGTTTTTGGTACTGA